GCTGGAGCCCGAGGGGTTCGTCAGCGCGGCGTGGCGGCCGGTGATTTCTCCCTCTTTTTATTTTTTTTTTGATAGCATGGAAAAGTTATGTTGATTTTTGACGCAGATTTGTGTTTTGTTTTTTTTTCCTAACCGTCAGGTAGGGATTTTAGTGGAAGCCGTGCTGTGTCGGGATGAGTTTTCTGCTGCCCAAACTGACCGGTAAGAGGGAGGTGGATCAGGCGATCAAGAGCGTGGCCGAGAAGGTTTTGGTTCTCCGGTTCGGAAGAGATGACGATGCTGTTTGTCTGCAGCTTGATGATATTGTAAGAGCAATTTTTTCTTTATTTCACTTGTAATAAACTCTGTTAGCATATCTGTTGCATACAAGAGAACGTCATGTGTGGCTTTTGGCGAATATGGTATCTTGTGAAAGTTTTGGTGACAAATGTCAGATGAAGTAATCCTGTTTTCATAAAACAGTTTGAAAATTAAGCAGGTGTTGATGTTATTGTAGTGGGTGTACAAAGCACTTGAAGTAGCGAAGACATGATATTCTAGCCCTGCTTAAAGTGATGAGACATAAGGGAGACAGGCTTTGCAAAGCTTGCCACCCTTTTTCCTCGTGTGTCTCGATCCGTTTGCCATCCGTCTTTCTCACTCTTTTCAGCTTGCGAAGACAGCTCATGACCTAAGTAAAATGGCAGTCATTTACCTGGTGGATGTGGACAAGGTTCCAGTGTACACACAGTATTTTGACATAAGTTATATTCCATCGACTGTATTTTTCTTCAATGGACAACACATGAAGGTTGATTACGGGTATGTCAGCCTACCTGGCATTATCTATTATGTCTGTAGGAATATCAGTCTTTCTCTATGTTACCATGTCTGCGGAAGGTGACGTTTGAAAACTATGATGTTGGTACCGGCATCTGCATTCAGAGCTCTGTAGGAAGCCGGAAGGACTTAAAATTAAGAAGTATTTTGAAATATGCTCTGATGCAATAAGTAGGTGTCAGCTGTCAAATGTGCCTGACTGCAAACAATCGTACGGTTAACATCTTAGACATGACACTGCACCTTTTTGGACTTTGGAGGTCACAGTGTACTCCAGACTTGGCTATGCCATTACCAGTGTGGTTCGTTCGTTCAGAATGACCACATCAGCACCCCTGATGTCATCATACACATTTTCTTGTCTTTAGGTGATTTTGCTTTGAACGCTTTAATATTACAATTCTACCTTTATCTTATGCTTATATTCAGGTCTCCAGATCATACCAAATTTGTAGGAAGCTTCAAAACAAAGCAAGACTTTATAGATCTGATTGAAGTGATTTACCGTGGAGCAATGCGTGGAAAGCTCATTGTGAGAAGTCCTATTGATCCCAGTAACATTCCTAAGTATGACCTTCTCTACCAAGGAATTTAATGGGTCGACCTGAGATAGTTACGGAAATGGCCGATGTTCTAGATCCCTCTTTTCCTTCAAGTATTTTTAGCCACCTCTGACACCGTGGAACAGTTTGAGCATTTATGTTGAAGGATCATATTGGTCTCCTCCCGAAGACAGACATTCTGTCACCTTGTACTTCTCTCATAAATAAAGCTACGTGTTCACACGTAGAATTCACACAAGTGACTATTCTTTGAGTTGCATGCTGACCAGCACTTACAAAACAGGGAGGTTGTATGCATCCTCCACGACGGCATCTCCAGTGCAACTTAAGATTAAGTGAACTAAAGAACCATATAGTCTATTAATTGTCTATTTAGTACCACTTTCATTCGGACGTAATAACAGTAAATCTGTCTTTATTTAAAAAGATATGCTTGCTCTCAAAATCATTCAGCTGACTATGCCTTTCCAATAGAATTTTACACTTTCATGCACTCCTGGATAACTGGACGGAAGTTTTTTCACAGTATTAGAGATGACTGAAATCTGAAATGTATATAAATGCAAAAGGGAAGCTGACACTCTCTTTTCTCTGGTACTCAGTGTTACTGTTCAACAGTTTTTTTGACAAGATGGGAACTGAAGGTGTAGGACAAAGTTTTGTCATCCTTCATAGCTCTTCTGCAGCCACTAAGCACTTTTAATTCCCACAGGATTAAACTGGAAGTTCAGAATAACTGTTTTGTTTACATTCACTTTGAAGTTTATATGACTAGCTGCTTATACAAATTGCAAACCTGGAGTATGGACATATAAAAACTGTCTCTATTTCCCACCTCTGTCTAAAATTAAACAACTAAGAGAAAACGGCAATGTCTTTCTTTTGCATCAGTTTGGCGAGTGCAGGTTGCTAGAATATGGCATTTCTATAGCAGCTCATGCCCAGTACTCTCACTGGTTAGCTGGCTTTAAAACAGAAATTACTTTAGCTCACTGTATCTTTTTGGGGGCATACCACCTCCAGCTGGAGGGAAGGTGGTAGTATTTAATTCCCTTAAGTATTGTTCAGCTTAACAGTAAACATTTCAAGGAGGAAGGTGGATGTTCCAGCTCTTGAAAGAATTTAAACACTATATGTTATATAATGAGGAAGAAATAGACACTTTACCTGGATTTTGTGTTCCAGATGTGTCCTTCTAGTGAAAGCTATGCACTGAAGCGAGTGTTTTCCTGATCATTTAGTCTGATTATAGAGCCATAACTACAGAATGTTTATTTAAAAAATGACACACATGAGAAGTGATATACCTTAACATCTTTATTTTGTGCAACTTTAAATTTCACAGCTAGCTGAAGGGTTGTGGCTTAAAGCCACACTTCTTTCCTAATAGTTAACTTGTATTTGTGTGTTTCTCAAAAACAAGCAAACTAGCTTCAAGCTTAGAACTGTAACTTGCTCCCCAGTGACAGGAAGGTCCTTGGATGACTGACAGATGCAGGGGCACTTACGAAAGGAAGAGACCGCTATCAAGAACAAATCAGTGTACCTTTATTTATTGCCTCTCTTCTTACTTGTGCTGCTTCTGGTTGCAACAGGTGAATGCCTAAAGGCTGGCGTGGTCTTGGCTTTCAGTGCGCTCTTCAGGTACTTAAAGACAGCAGGTAAGCAGCAGGAGGGTGCTAAACCGTACTTTTCCGTTCCAGCAGAGACAGTAGGACAGTTCACTTTCACGAGAGAACCTACCGCTTTGTCTAGAGGCTTACTGTTCAACACCCATTCACGGCAGTATTGCTGTATCCATGCTTGTGTTTGTGGATCGCTTCTAGCCTGGTGCTGCGTGTTGTGCCTGGAATCGATGAATGCCACAGAGTACACTTTATTCATGACCTCCCATTTTCTCTGCACCAGCAGATCAACAAACACCAAGCCACCGTAGCCGTGGGCAATGAAGGCCACATCCTTGGCTGCGCTCTTTGAAATGAAATGATCCCATACATACAGGGTATGCTCCTCAGGGCTGCTGCTGCCCCTCTTGGGGATACACCACATGGACTGCCTCAGTGATTCCTCCCTGGTAGAAAAGCTTAACCTCTCCTTTTCGGTCTTCGGATCAACGAAGTTGTCATTGGGATTCAGCACAATCACTCCCCCGTGGCTTTGAAGGGCCCTTTTGATGAATGGTATTTGTGTTCCGTGCTCCAGGCCCTCACTGACAATCGTCCTTTGCCCCCACTGTCCAGCACGGAAAACTCCATGGTCTTGAAGAAGGACAGTTAGGCTAGAGGAAGTTGTTAGTGCGTTCTCGCTCATGAAAAAGAAACTTCTTGGTTCATCCTCTGTAGCATCAGTAGGAATGTAAACTTTCTGCAGCATGCAGAGTCTTTCCAGGAGCTCATAAACATATTTGGTAATCAAATGTCCCAAAACTTGATAGCGTTTATGATTCTGCTCATGTGCATTCTTGTAATAATTGAAAACAAAGGACTCATTTGTATCCAGATGCCGCAGCTCCCCTTTTATATTGAAGTCATACTTCAGTTCCCCTTGATACTCTGAACCCTCTATTAGTTTCCGCAAGCTTAGTTCGTGCTGCAGTTGTAACCACTACAAATTAAGAGGACTATATCAGTGTAGTGATAGACCCCCATACAACACCTACATGAAGAAAACCTATTGTATTTGAATTCAGATTTAAAAGTGGTTACAAACAAAATACACTTTGATACAGACTCTCTCTTTGTGGTCTGTAGTAAGCCAGCTGCTTCTAAAGCCTCTCACAGATTTTGGTTGCTAAATTCCAACAGCAGTGCATTAGTACCAATCCCTCCAGTTACTCGTTCATCCTTGCAAGCACTCGCCACACGGAAATTGTGCAATGGATGACAGAATAAGCTCACCACTGTGATCCAGGAACAGGGGAAATGAAAGTCCACGCAGCAAACTTTCATGAGATTGAGGCGTCTAGTTTCAGCTAACATAATTTTTCAACTTGTATGACTGATCAACTGATAAGAATTATACCAGGAAGTGGTTTCCATGCAACTGAAAAATTAAGCTTATCATAGCCTTATATTTTCTTAATAACTCTTTGATCTACTACCTACCATCTCTGTCTGTGGAACGGTAAACATGGGGTAACTTTTGGTGTGGTCAGAATCCTACTTTGATAGGATTTTTGTCCTAACAGCAGAGAATTGCAGGCATTAAATTCCTACAATTATCAGTGTTTTAAAAATGAATTTATCATCTTAACGCAGTAATTTTGTTTTGGCAAATGGTTTATATGAAGTTATATTTGGCAAACACATTGGTGCAAGCTACTATATACCTTTACATTTTTCTTGCTGAACTAACAGGTTTTTAGAACACAGCAAATCCCATTCTGACTATGTTAAAGCTCCCTATACAATCTGATAAAACTGATTGATAGGACAGAAAGTGATCTGAAAATTTTCATGTAAGCAACTTGAGTTGGAGTCCAGCTCCTTTGTAGAATGGAAGTTTTCTTGAGTAAGCTGCTTAGCATATTAAAAATTATTTCTTACACTTCCAAATGTAAAAAAAAAAGTTCTCTGCTTTCCAACAGAGCAACACCATATATATTTTCCCTTTGAGCAACCTCCATTGGATCAGAGATGTTAAGTCATCTCTGCAGGGTCATTCCTGTCTTCTGTTATACAGAGAGTAGGCAAGACAATGCTACATTCTCCCTTCTTATCTCATATAGTAAGTAGACATAGAAAATGGAAAAAAAAAACCCAACCAGATTCTATGATATATAAACCATTTACTATCTTGCCAGTTTCTTCAAAAGGGAACATGACAAAAAAGGTGCAAATGCACATGTTCATCTAGGATTTTTTCATTCTGCAGGAAGGCATGAAAAACACAAAGGAGACGGGAGGACAGTTTGTTTGCTGTACTACTGAAATATGGGCAATTCACACAAAAGAGATGATATTTAGTAGGGAGGAAGCTACCCATATTCATGTTGTTTTCCCTATGCAGTGAAGCGGAAGGAAAACGGATATGGTTTAAGGAAAGGTGTCTGTGGAGAAAGGTTAAGCACAGAGGAAGTGTTCCATGACAATTAGGAATAGATAAATACAGTTTCCTCTCAGAGTGGCATGCTGTCCAGTACTGCTCTCCATCCCTTTCTCTCCTCACCCCTAAAAGGTTGTTGACTGCTGCTTGTGCTTCACGGTCTCTATATAAATGCAATATTCAAGGGTGTTTATTCTGGCAGCCTTTACAACTGCTATTTTGATTTTTAAAAGTTACTGTTGGAAGGAAAAAAAAAAAATCCCTTTTTCCCTTCCTCTCACTTTTCTGTTTGGATTTTAAGATTCATCAGCTGTAAATTCAGCTAGTGTTTGTTACAGCAGTTAGCATATTTGAAAGAGTACTGCAGTATAAGTATTACTTTTTAAGAGAGTTTGCATTTAGAAACAGTTTCCTCTGTTTTAGTAAAGCCCAGCATTACCGTATGATCTGCTGTAAAATCTGTCATCATCAGAGACAGAAATCTTTTTCACTCGGGAGTTGTAGACAATTTCCCTGCGTGAAAAAAAGATAAACCCATGTTAGTTCAGGTTTCATTACTTTATGTACTTAATTCTGGGGTGTATCTGTAGAATGTATCAGTCGCTGATAGCGAAGGCCATCTAAAGCGTTTCAGGTAGCTGCACGTCGCCAGCTAACAGCTCCCGTTTGTAAGTTACACCTGACCGTAAGTTAAACCTAAGCCTCTTGGCTGTGAAACCAGAGAGCTGTCCCAATACAGGCAGCACCAAGGGGACAGAACGGAAAGCCACGCGCGAAACTTACGGGTCTGAAGCTGCTCTGGGGAACAAATAAAAAGCAACGCAGCAAACCAAACCCAGAAAACAAACGTCGGTCCCCGCTTGGC